CCCTTGCCGGTGCCTCCCCCAGCCGCCTCCCGCAGAAGTGGAGCGTGTGCAATTAATTATTTAAAAAAATGATGAGGTTAAGCAATTTGCAACTTCGAGTTCTTGGTGCTGCCCTGCAACCTGGTGACTCCCCTCCATTGGAAGAAGAGTGGCATGGATGTAGTATCTGTTTTTAATTGCGAAAGGTTAAAAAAAGCAGCCCGAGCTGGTATCTTTTCTTAGTGGCTGAAATGTGTGAAGGGTTTAACCCTGTTAGCTCAGAGCTTTTTTTTTTTTTTTTTTTAATGTAGAGGGAAAAGGAGGAGGAGGAAGATTTTGCAAGGCTTTAATACGCCTTAATATTAGTAATAAAGAGTTAGTTGTATTGCAGTATTGTACTGGGTTGCTCATGTCTTAATAATGTCATGCTTTCCAAAACACATTCTTGTTCCCAAAATGAGTGTTGCTAATTTTGTGAAAGGTCTGTGCATTATAAAACATTATTGTACACTGGTAAATAGCTTGAAACAAGGAAAGGATACTAAAATGTAGCTCCTTAGTCATCTGCTCACTTCATGGAGTGAAAGAGTTACTGCAGGACTGTATGACTTAATGTTTTTGCGCTACCTACACCAAAGCCTGAGGAACCTACAGAAGCCAAACGAGTGGATCTAAAAATGAATCACTTTCAATTATGTGCAATTTGGTGCTGCTTCTGAATGCAAGATTTGCTGCAGCAAAGCTTTTGAAGCAGTTCAGTCAATGAAATTTCCTCTATTTCTGCATATAAAATAGGATAGAAAAATGACTGCTCAAAACTGAATGGCAATTAATTGAAACTGCCTTTGTTTCAAATGAGTTTAACACTTCTAACATATACTAATTTTATACGAAGTCATGCAAAGAATATATCTTTTGAGCACTCTATAAGGATGTATCCCTCTGTTTGTTTGACAGTTATTTGCATTTGACCTAGCACAGGCTGAATGGAAAAGCTGCAGCGTGCAGAGAAAGACCTGGTTTGGTCAGATCATTTTAGTATTTATAGATTATATAGATGCGCAGAGTTAAAGCCCTAATAGTTCTGTGAATATGTCAAAAGAGTAATCTCATGGATATTTCCTACTCTTCGCTAAAAGCTATTTGGCACCTAACTGAAAGATGGTATGTAAATAAATATTTTTATACGAGCATGGTACAAGTCGTCATAACTTTATTGCATTATTACCCATTTCTTTAAAAGTAGCACTCAAAATAAGGGAATGACATGTAGTTATTTCATTAAGTAGCTTCATGTAGATCGTGACAGATACAAGAGTGTTTTGTCTTTCCCAGTCTTCTCGCTCCCTTTGCTTTAGTTAGTGATATTCAATTATTTTAATTCCAATTGTTAATACATCAAGAACTGGACAAACATTGGCTTACCTCTTTAGGGTTTTAGAATGTATTTTAGTATTTGTTTGGAGGGTGTAAAGTGCTTATTACAGTGCTTGGCTACAAGATCTAACTGCTGATTAGTTGCTGTTGCTGAAAACTATGCTTATATTTAAAAATAAATGCAAGGGTGTTTAACAGTGCTCTCAGCATCAGGAGACGTGTATGAATGTGAAACTGGCTGGGAAGCTGCTGCAGTAGCGTTGCATTCTGGATCAGTCGTTACTTAACAGATGGACTCCAGCATACAATAGTCTGTATTCCCACAGCAGAGAAAGGTTACATTGTGTCTTCTAATCTGTTTCTTCTCAGTGCAGTGAATGCCTCAAACTTGTGCTGGTGTATTTGAAAGTTAATTTGCTTACATGTAAAATAAACCCAGTGCATATGGCAGATATGAAGCAAAGCTGTAGGCATATCCATAGACTATTAAATGTTTTCTGTGTTATGGATTTTAATAGCAACTTTAAATAAAATGCACTTTTGTATTTAGACATAAAATCTTGTCTTTCATAGTATTAATACTATGAGGAGAG